CATTAACTATTTAATTTGATTACTCATTTACATTTTGGAAACATGCATTTATTGATTTGTTTTTAAAGTGATTTTTTTGAACTTCAAAAACAATTAACAAAAAACAAACAAACACATAAATACTGTATATACGTGTCAGTTGCATTGCAGGATCAGAAAGCTCTCAGATTTCATCAAATATTCCTTAATTTGTGTTTCAAAGATAAACAAAGGTTGTACGGGTTTGGAACGACATGAAGCTGTGTAATTAAAGAATTTTCATTTTTGGATTAACGGCAAAGAAAATTAAAATAATGACTTTATTCAACAATTTCATCTCTTCTGTGTCAATCTTCGCCGCGTGTTCACGGGAGTACGATGACATATGGACTATTTTAGCGATGTCCTTACTACGTTTCTGGGCCTTGAACGTGTCAGTTGCATTGCAGGATCAGAAAGCTCTCAGATTTCATCAAATATTCCTTAATTTGTGTTTCAAAGATAAACAAAGGTTGTACGGGTTTGGAACGACATGAAGCTGTGTAATTAAAGAATTTTCATTTTTGGATTAACGAAACCTTTAGGTTCATTAACTATTTAATTTGATTACTCATTTACATTTTGGAAACATGCATTTATTGATTCGTTTTTAAAGTGATTTTTTTGAACTTCAAAAACAATTAACAAAAAACAAACAAACACATAAATACTGTATATACATACTATTAATAACACAAGACAAAACGAGAGTATCATTCAAAATCGTATTTTTCCATCGATTTTCTTGTTTTCATAATCGTTGGAAGGCAAATTAAAATAAAATTGTATTAATTGCTCAGCCCTAATATACAGTCTGTAGTAAGGTATAGTAATTAGAAAAAAAACATTCAAATCAAATGAATTCAGTTAAATTAATTACATTTTATTAGTACAATGAAATGTTTTAAATAAGTTTCAGGTTTTGCAGAAAAATGTGTCTTCCTCCACATAATTGTACGCTGACAAAAAACTGGTATAGGATTAACTTTATAACAATTTTCATTTAGAAATTGCTGGTAAATTTCACAAATAATTGCAGAGAAACAGCAAAAAACATGTTAATATTAAATATGACATTTTTAAACAGGAAGACTGAAATAGTATTTTAAAGGGGTCATATGATGCGATTTCAAGTTTTCCTTTCTATTTGGAGTGTTACAAGCTCTTGGTGCATGAAGAAGATCTGTAAAGTTGCAAAGACTAAAGTCTCAAATCCAAAGAGATATTCTTTATAAAAGTTAAGAGTCTACCTAAAACGGCTCGTTCTAACACGCCTCCACATATCCACATCACTGTATGGAAATATTAGCATAATGCCGCCCAAATGTGCACGCAAAGAAAGAAGGCGTGGTTTCAGGAACAGCAGTAGTGTTGATGCAGCCATGTCAGGGAGACGCTGTGTGATTCAGTGCGAAAGCAAAAGCACTTTATTTGGCCTTCCGGAAGTAGAAGATTCATTGGTTAAGATTTATTTACAACAGAACAGCACAACCCAGATGTTCGAATTTGTGCAACGCATTTTATGGACGACAGCTTTTTTAACCTAGAAGAGTACAAGGCTGGCTGTGCACAAAGGCTATTTCTAAAAAAAAAAAAAAGGTAAATTCCGACTTTGCTATGACAATTTGGCGCTTCTGAATCATCGACTGTAAGTATGTTTTGTTATTAGTTTAAGTATTTGCTATTGACTGTTCAAATGTGGAGTTTTG